AAGCTGTATATATATATATATATATATATATATATATATATATATATATATATATATATATATATATATATATATATATATATATATATATATATATATATATATATATATATATATATATATATATATATATATATATATATATATATATATATATATATATATATATATATATATATATATATATATATATATATATATATATATATATATATATATATATATATATATATATATATATATATATATATATATATATATAGGTGAAGTAACATAAAAAAATCCAATACATACATGCCAACAAATGTCAAAATTATATTTTCCGCAAAAATTATAATTCATTCCAAATCATACTAAGTATACACTTTTTTTAGAATTAAAATCCCGCCAAAATCAGAAGTTACCATAAAACAGAAGTCCATAGGACTTTCCGGATAATTTTTTAATAAAAAAATTAAGAAGGTAGAACTCAAAGCCATGATGTCCAGTGTCGTATTTGCCTTGAAAGTAAAGTAATATATTGAGGTTTTCATGAAAATCTTTTTCTATTGTTCCGTGGGACTGTTTCGGTCTTCAAATTGTTTAATTACATTTTTAATTGTATTTAATGCAGGAACTCTGCTCTCTTTCAACCATTGCAACATTATGCCCGCTTGAATAATATAATTTTATTATTTTGCGTTTTTCTTCCTCAGTATAACCCATTTGAAATACCTTAAGTTATCTAACTTACAAACTACAAAACTAGAACGTTGTTAAAACAATTGTAAACAAAGATAATATGGTCGCTATCAAGGCAGACTTGACCATTTTCAATTGTCCAGAAATCGAACTGAAATATCTCAAAAACGGCAAGTCTAAAAGTCTAAAGTCTAAATTAGTTGGGAGTACAAAACGGAGGCATAAATACAACAGGACCATTCCTGGAGCTAAATGGGGGTATTCCATTTCACTTTGACAGCTTGGGATCGTCGTTGGTTTTTTTCTGACATTTGCATAAGATAATAGAGCAACAATCTTCACAATTTTGTGATTACACTTTTTTTTCTATATTTCAAAATTAACTCTGTAGTCATAATATAATGAATATCCCAATACGTGGGTACTTAAATATACAAAATAACCTTGTACCTCGACATGCATTACCGACGATGGAGGCTAAGATATAATAATGAGTATGCTCATACATTTTTTGTCACCTCTTTATGCGTCGATTGAACTGAGATGGCTTTTACTTGATGAAAACCCATTTAACAAAATAAATAAGAAATAAAAGTTCAGATTTTCATGAAATTATATATTTTCACATGACAATTGTTTCGACAGCAAATTAAAAAATCACAAACTACCTGCTACTACAAATACGTAAAAATGACATTAAAACCTTAATTAATGTTGTTGTGAGAATTTAAGATTAATAATGGAGAGATTTTTTTCGAAAATTTTGATATTTTACATACAGTCACAAAAAGTAGAAAATTAAATTTATTGGAAGCCACGGAGATTAACAAAATGAGACATTCAACTGTACTGCTTAAAGATCAACTAGATTTAAATACTTCTCCATTATTAACATTAAATTCCCACAACAACATTAATTATGGTTTTATTGTCATTTTTCGGTATATATAGTAGCAGGTCGTTTGTAAATATTAGATTTGATAAAGACACGGTGTTGTCGAAACAATTGTCATCTGAAAATATATAATTTCATGAAAATCTGAACTTTTAGTTCTTATTTATTTTCTTTATGAGTCGTTTGCTTTTATCGATAAAGGAACCAATTGGATTGCTGTTTGCTCGTGTCGCTTAGTCTGAAATGTTGAATAGTTTGTGGAGGTAATTTATTCCGACTTCGAATGCTGTTCTCGTTTTCCCATGAAACGGAAACATATTCGATCCATGTTTCACAAATCTCTGAACCGAGTTCGATATAAAAAATATGAGTTAAACAAATGCTGTGTTTATCTAATCTTGGCGACTCGCCCCCAATATTGCTACCGCTTCGCCATCATCACGTCCGACAACGCGATAAATTAAGCGAGACGTGGGACGGCGTTGAACGTACAGGGTGGCCCTACCTAAAATTATTTTCCTATTTTTATATACATTTTTCTAAATAGAATACCCTACATTTTATTTCATTTTTGGAAGACAAATTAATTATATATATATATATATATATATATATATATATATATATATATATATATATATATATATATATATATATATATATATATATATATATATATATATATATATATATATATATATATATATTTTCGTTTCGCAAAATGATACTTTTCTTAATTTTCTTAAATGAAACACATGGATGTTTTTTTCGATGTATAGAACTTTAAGTTGGCATTACTGTTCAAGATGGCTACCGATTTAAAAGCTGTCAAGTGATTTATTCTCAGTTTGGTTTGGCAATTCATTTTTTATTTCGGAAATAATGGTTCTGTGCGGAATCGTATCGCGCACTATGTCGATTTTATCGTTGACAAAATCGTCCATCAGAGCAGTTAATTCGATTAACCATGGAACGTTTTCGCACCACGGTTACTCCGTACGGTGCGTCCAGAAGAAGCTATTGCTGCTGTAGAGCGTAGCATTGAGGAAGACCCGAATCCAGTAAAACTGACTGTTTGGTGTGCTTTATGGGCTGGTGGAATTATTGGTCCGTACTTCTTCAAAAACGATGATGGCCAGAACGGTACAGTCAATGGTGATCGGTATAGAGCTATGATTACTAACTCTTTCATTCCTGAATTGAATAACCATGATGTCCAGGAGATGTGGTTTCAACAAGACGGCCCAACATGTCACACAGCTCGTGCCACAATCGATTTATTGAAAGACACGTTTGGTGACCGCCTACTTTCATGTTTTGGACCAGTGAATTAGCCTCCAAGATCTTGTGATTTAACACCGCTAGACTACTTTCTGTGGGGCTATGTAAAGTCATTGGTCTATGCGGATAAGCCACAAACGCTTGACTATTTGGAAGACAACATTCGCCGTGTTATTGCCGATATACGGTCGCAAATGTTGGAAAAAGTCATCGAAAATTGGACGTCCAGATTGGACTACATCCGCGCCAGTCGTGGCGTTCATATGCCAGAAATCATATTTAAAATGTAATGCCACAAGATTATCTTTCGGATAAATAAAATTTATGTCAATCGAATAATCCATCGTTGTTTTATTGCAACTTAAAGTACTATACATCGAAAAAAAAAACACAATTTATTACATAATACGGGTGTTGGACTTACCGTTTTGGCTTAAATGGCAATTATTTTCCAATAATACATAAATTCTATTACATTCATCATTTAATTACCTTGTAAATACGGACCTTAAATTGAAAAAAACTTTGAAAAAATATTTATATTCTTAATAATAAAAAATATATAGAAACCTACCTGGTGAAAGACACAAATACAAAATTGATGATATTATTAATTTGGGCATAGCACTAGCTTTGAAAACAATAGTAGTCCTCTGTCGTGATAATATTACTGATTTTTTGACAGTTATCAGTGTATTATAATATTTTAAGCGTATTTTTTCGGACTTCCACCATTTTCTATTTATTTTATTAAGTTGCATTATTGTTGAGTCTATTTTGTATAATGTGAACGAAGGAGGAGAAAGTTGATCTATTAAAATGTTATATCTCCAATAACAAAAGTCCGGCTCTTGCTCTCAGACAATATAGAGTCAAATTTCTCCATAGGCGATTGCCAGAATATTTGCAACAATATACTAGCAGTTTCAGTGGAACAAATTAGGAGCCGAACGGTTTTGGATGAAAATATGCAGCAAGATATTCTTCTGCATGTTGAAAATACTCCAGAGACCTTCACCCGGCAGCAAACAAACCACATTTGAAATATGTTTAAAAATTAACAGTTATAAGCCATTTAAATTCAGACCAGTACAAAAACTACAAGAAGCAGATTTTAATTTAATATTCGATTTTTGCAATATAATGATGGATATGCATTTTTTAGATAACGTATTTCAAAATATAACTTGGATCGATGAATCAATATTTACAACATCTGCGGTAATATTTAATAGAGATAGTAGTGTAGTTCAGAAAATAAAAAATGTGTTTTTCAAGTAAACAAGCAGCGGCGAAGATCCGTGAAAGTGGTGGTGCGTAAACTTATTAATAAACGAAATTCCCCATAGAGAGCATCCGAATTTAATTTGGCAGCAAGATGGGGCTCCTTACTATCGAAGTCCTGTAATCGTCAGTTTTGAATTTTACCTGCTAATTAAGCCAAAACGGTAAGTCAGAGACACGTACTATGTTATATAATTGAAATTGCTATTAAAGTGGCTATTCGAAAATCCAATAATATGCTGGTTGTCTCATTTAAGAGAATTGAGAAAAGTATCATTTTGCGAAACGTAGCAACACCGCGTATTTTAAGAAAATATTTGAAATTTGATCATTGCCCAAAGAAAATCAATATTTTCGTAAAAATAGTAGATGGAAAATGGAAAAAAGTTAAAAAAGTTAATAGGCAACCCAACAATGATGGTTTAAACATAACCCGAATTTTGAAGATGATCGTTAATAAGTTCGAAACGGTGCATCTCACATCTTAGAAAGGACGATCCAAAAAATACAATAAAATGTAGGGTGTTTTTTTAAAATGTATATAAAAAAGTGACCATCAGGAAAATAAGAAAAAGGTCATTCTAACAGAAACAATTTTGTATTTATTTTTTTTGTTACCTCCGTAGGCTTCGAGATAAGGTATAAGCCCTTTTTAAACGGGCCATCCTGTACGTTCAACACTATCCCACGTCTAGCTTAATTTATCCCTGTACGTTTTCCAGTTTATTTCCTGCGTTCCTGTATTCGCGGAACAATCCTTCACAAAATCAACGTGTCGTCTCGAGTAATTTCATTAGCAGATACGCCACTTTCACGGCGTATCTCGAGCGCGCGTGATAGACTTACTGCATTACGGATTTGCTTTCGACTCTGTTTACACCGCGAGCGTGTATCGAGTTTGAGAGCGCTTCAACGTTTGATTCAAATCAGAGATCACTTCTGATCCGGATTCTTTGTTTGTGTTTACGTTCGGTCCTTGTCGTTCCAAACTCAAATCACAGGTTTGAAACATTCTACCATCCAGTCAAAATAGACAAAAATAAGTCAAAACTAGGGCAAAATTCGCATAGAGCTGAAAATTGGCAGAGGCGTTAAATATATAAAGTTTCTTGGACTCTCCTAAAGATTTAAAATATTATAGTTTTGTTGATACAAAATGTCCCGACATCAACTTTGTTATTTTAAATAAAACACCCTATATATTTCGAAATTTTTGGAATCCTTGGTTATAATAAAGGTCGCTTTCTTAAGAAATTCCTATTCGAATTTTGCATAGTTTTGTGTTCCTTTAAATTTAACCATAGACTGAGGAGATGATGCACTACACAGGGTGTCCCAAATAGGCGGTGCCGTTTTGGCGAATTCAATTAACAAAATCTCAAACACACTATACTTACAGCTCAGTCGTGACATATACGTGATCGAGTGATAGAATGTTTAAGTTAGAACCAGCGATTTTTATAGGGATATTAAGTTTGAAACTTATTTAAAATGTTAACATTTTAATACTTTTCTTAAACAGGAATTCAGTTAATTGTGGGTTGTAAATTCATACGGTAATGCAGAACAGGAAAATAACCCCTTAACAAATGGTTTTTCACGACGACGTTTCATGCAGAAGGTGTAACGGAACGAGGTAAAATTGATTTAATATTTTATAGTAGCTCATAAAAAAGGCATTTTGCATGTTTAGTACAGAAACGTGGTATTTTATAACATTAATCAATTTATAGGATTAAATAAAGGTTAATAAATATATGTATATTCGAGTTATCGCAAAAAAATATCTCAGAAGCACAGAAACAAAATATCAAGCATCAGGAAAAGTTGAAGAGAACGGTGTATTCATCTTAAGGAAGGAGACCAAAAGAATATATGACTTGAGACAAGGTAAAGAAGTTATCAGTAATAAAAATATTTGTAGAAATGTGTAGTACATTACACTGTACGACTGAAACTATATTAGTATTAATACATTTCAATTATGTTAACGTAATTTTAGAAAGGCCGAAGGTGCCTCACTTCCTTCAACTCAGTATGTACCTCTAGGCAGAGGTGGAGGCAATCGAATGTACCTCTAGAATTGAAAGACTTGACTAGAGTTCTGGGAGCAAGCAAGTGACCTAGATATTAGTTTGGTTGTACAGTTTGGCACAAAAACTTGGCATGAGCAATTTTTGTCAACCTGTATGAAAGGATATTAAACTAATATGGGCATGATTTTTTTCTGGGATTAGCAAGTATTTTATATTTTTTCGGTAGGTAACCTCTACCTCTGTATAAGTTAATAGGAACCACCAGATAGGTATATGATAATTTTTGAAATCTTAAATAAATATATTTGATGGTTATTAACAAAATTACTGGTAACTCCTAATAAGGTGTATAAAGGTAGATGTTACCTTTGTCATAAAAATAAAAAATGTTATTATTATAGGCTTTTACTTGGACAAGGCACTCTTGATTGTACGTCAAATACAAGGAAATATGGATGAAAAAAAAATATTATACTATGATTTGGGAATAATTATTAAACTGTTTGAACTTATAATTTTTGTTTCATTTCAACCATTTGAACAGTTTTAATGAGGCCATTAGGGGACATTTCTGGACCGCTCTGGAGCCGTGAGTCCAGAAAGCAGGTCCACAATGCTGTAGATTTAAAGTATTTTTGTATAAGTACATTTTTATGTGATTCTCATGTGACTATAGGAAATTCCCCATCTTATTTATAAAGTAGGGTAGAATAGGTGTGTTATCCCAAGGCTCACTCGCAACTGGCTAGAACAAATTGCACGGTGAATTCAGTCAGCTTATAATCAGTTTTATTCCCATCGTCAGCTGTGGACATTGTCATTTATAAATTTTTTATAAATTTGACGTGATAGACGTCAACACCTTTCGATAAAATTAACCTATATTTTTTTGGAAACAATAATTGACCGGATGCATAAGAATTCATGGGTCATGTCCAATTTAGCAACCGATGTACGTCTAGTATCTTTAAAACAAGCACCGTTTTCCTAATTCGCATTTGGATTATAGCTATCTAGTATCGACTATCAAATTGCAAAGTCTGCCATTTGACCGCCTGCTACATCGAGATCCCCCGCGAGGCGAGACTCACCGAGACTTTCCGAAACGGGACCGAACGTCGTTCGGGATTCTCGATCATTTTAACATTCGATCATTTGTGGTGTTCCCGAACCCGTGCTCCCGGATCCGTGCGACAAGAAACTCACGTTTTAAAGTTACGCTTTCCGCACGCTAGATCGGTGTATAATTAGATATTTTAGAGAAGGGAGTGGCAAAATTAAATAAATTATATATTTAAAAGAAAAGTACTTTTTATTATAATTTTATTTATTTAGTTTTTTTTGCTTTATCCTTACTATCAATATTGAATATACTAAGACAATGTATCTTTGTTAGTTTCTGCGTCATGATCTTGTGGATGTACACAAGTGAATACCTATATACGCTTTCCAATTTTGCACACGGCACCAACCTTAAATACGAATATCTAATAAGGGACAATTGGTTTATCTCAGTCACACTATACAATCATTAGGAAAGCAAGCAAAAACTCTATACAGTGTATATAATGTCAAATAGCGTAGTAAAAAAATACTTTCAGGTTAATTGAAATTTAAAAGTTGTAATTAAAAAAAAACAGATTTTTAAAACCTAGAAGTAAAGCAACCTCTTCTACTACATTTATTTTATTTTTATAAATTTGATTCACACAATTACCTCATGGAAAGTCTAGGTATCTACAAACGTAAGCGTCGACTAAGATAAACCAGAAATTGATAGCCATAAATCCAAACAATAACCGAGTAGAATGAATATTAAGCATGCAAACCCCAAAAATTCATATTCCAATTACGCCAGTTCAACCCCAGAACTTTTAAAATAATGAAATACTTGTATTTACGTGTTTGTTAAACTAACATAATCCAAGTGTGCAATTGTCACTCGCTCACTGAAATCTTTCCTAGTTTTGTAGTTCGACATATCTATATAGTAGAACTAAATTAATAAACAATTTTTATTTTAATAAAATATATTTATTTTACGTCGTTTCACACTTGATAGTAAGGAAAAGAGAACGATACGAAGGTACGTATAATTGACTGAAACGAACCTAGAGGTTAAAAAAGAACTGAAAATTATTTATAGACTCAGCTTTGTCGCTGTCGATAACTAGCTATTGGGAAATCTGCAAACTACGAAAGTTAGAAAATCACTGATCGAAACTGGGAAGAATACTTTGTACACTGAACTGTTTGTTAAGCTATCATTATTTATCATGAAACCTTATCCGCTTATAAAATTCTTCGAAAATCTAGTTTAGGCCAAATCAAAAAGACTCTTTTGTTTCTTGATATTGACATTGCTTCCATCTTGTCTCCATCTGAGTTCGATACACTTTCAAACATGATTCAAGGCAACGCTGAAAATCTTCCTTCAATTTTACACAGAATCACATTATCTCAAACGAGGAAATCATTTCAAAAGTCTAGTATAGCATAAAAATCCTTAATCAAATATTCAGAAGTCTGAATGCATTGCTTTAAAATCTCTGAAATCTAATCCCGACATCTTAATTCTAAAAGCAGAGAAAGGAAATGCTCCGGTGGTCAGTCATCCGAGACGGTGTTTATGCCCTCATTTAGCTCCGCCCCCCTCGAACAATATATAAGAAGGTATGGCCTGTTCCTAGATATAAGAAAGTGACCAATTGCTTTTGAATGGGATTATCGAAGGGTGGTACTCAGGCAGATCTATATCACTATAACACTAGGTGGTAGCCGATTCAGAATACTAGGAGCTCAATTCATTGGTGAGAGTACAGGACTTCTCTACGGAAAAATAGGGAAACGAAATATTCGAAAGATCTGAATGCAGTGAATATAGCGCCATGGACATTAGGGACAGGTATGGTCTGTTCATAGATATAAGAAAGTGACCAATTGCTTTTGAAGGGGATTATCCAATGGTGGTCATTAACATACAATGCAACAAGATTATTACCTAAAGTTTCGGTATTTAAATTCAGGTAAAATTGTGGTCCGTAATAGAAAATAATTTTATAACTACCTGTGTTTAATATTCTTTGGTTTTGTATACCACTTAGTTTAAGTTTATTAGTAATCATTCTTACTTCGTGTGTAATACAGCTTGTGTTGAATCGTGTGCGAATTATGCAAAATATGTGCGAGTCTAGTGTATCTCAGGAGATGCTCCCGCCCAAATGTAAAAAACATTATTCTATTGAGACTAAGGAAGTTATAAGTAATGTTTATTTGACTCTCATTGAATGTGGTGCCAGCAAGCAAGCATCTTTAGAAGAAACGGCCACATTGACGAAAATTCCAACATCAACTGTATGCAAAATTGTGAATAATCCCATTTCAGCGAGGAAAAAAAAAAGCGATGCTGACATTTTCTCGAGTGTAGATGAAAGTGATCAAGACATAATACGTAAAATTTACCAGTTATACGAGGAAAAAAGCGTGCTTACATTAGATATCTTAATTAGGAGGCTTGAAAAAGATGAAACCGGTTAAATGTGGCAGAACTACCTTATGGAAGTCTATTCAACACATGGGTTTTAGATTTAAAAAATTGACAAAAGGCAAGTTTTAATGGAATCTTTTACAATTCGGAAATGGCGATTGGAATATCTAGAAAAAATGAAGATTTACAGAGAACAAAAAAGGCCGATTATTTACTTGAGTGAAACCTGGTTCGATACTTATGATATCCCGGAAAAGGGTTGGGTTGAATCAACTGATAAGTGTAAAACGAACGCGCCATCAAAAAGAGGTAAAAGAATAACTATTTTGCATGCTGGCTCTAAAGATGGCAGCAGAACAATCGTATATTCATATTGAAAATAATATAGAACAAATAATAATTAGAACAGGCGATGATAGCGATAGTGACACTGATATATTATGTGAATAATTTTAAGTAATTTAAGTAGGTAATAAAAATAATTTGTAATTTTATTTTAGATTTAAACATAAATACATAAATAAATAAATCAATATTGTTCAGTATCTTTCCTAACAAAACCCCAAATAATTCAATTCTAAGCAAAGTACGTTCGGCCATTCTTACAGCTTGCCCGGGGCTTTCCTTAATTCGTATCAGTTAGCCACTTTCTTATATCTATGAACAGACTTTACAGGGTAGAACGCGAGTCAGTATTAAGCCCTGAAGAAGCCAACTGGATGATTGACGAAACGTCAGCAAGTTCGATATATATAATATAAAGTTGAAGAAATAGCTGCGAAATACGGGATAGATGTGTTACGTTTACCACTGTATTACTGCGAGTCTATTGACTCTTTCAACTTAGATTCAACACAGATTTTTTTTTTGTTTTTACTCTAAACAATTTTCCTTCGATTGTTGCTCAACATTTCAAGCTAGAAGCATTAATAGTCTATCCTTTCCTGAACGGATTTCCCTCTCCCGTCACACCCATAAATCCCCACGAGGCTCCAAACAAAAGTGAATCCAACCGAAATTCCAGACGCGTCCGTTTCGTCATTAAATATTTAAAATAATCCGGAAACCTCTTTAACGTGGCGGCACTTAGTCACCTCCACTACTCCACTCTCCGTATGTCATTAAAGTCCCCTATTAAGATAAAGGAAAAGTCATTACCTAAAGGCGTTACGTTACCACTCAATAATCTTACATGAAACAGGGTTCCTTTTAAGGAAAAGCTGCACTTAGCTCCAGGTACGGAGGAGCTGTTAATTTGATTTACGCGGGTATTTTTAATAGCGAGAGGAATCCGGAAAGGGCACACGTATCAAGAGATTGCAATTTTCGGTGCCGAGACTTACCGACGTAGGGTTGCCCGATCCTATATTCAACCAGCTTGGCTTGTTATAACGGCATACACGCCGAAAACAAATCCGTAACGCGCAAGAGGTTCGTTAGCATTTATCCGGCTCCAAGTTAATTGGGAATTAATATACCGTCGTCATCGAAAATAATTAGTAACTGGCTTCGATATCATGAGCGCCCTAAACGATCAAAATGGAACAATGAGGTTGTTCTAGTTCGCCAGCGAAAGCATGTTGAGACCAGTTAAAGCACAAAGGT